CTAGGTGAGAAATCAGGCAGGGAAGTGAATTCTCTCTGGCTTATATCTCTGGCCTGGGTTCCTCCCTCTATAACGATCTGAATTTTTGTTGTTGGGTTTTGGGCTCTTTCCCTCCTACTCCCATCTGGTATAATAAACATGAAAATAGTTGTGTGGGGCAGACAACACATGAAATTGCTGTTTTCAGTGGAAAGGTTTAACGGTATTTTAAAGCAATTGCTCACTTCTTCTTCCAAGGTAATGAAATTACGGTTCCCCGGTGATAGGCAATATTCCTACCAGAAAATTAAATTATGAGCATGGGGGGGCAATGAGAAGAAAATTAAAAGGTGTAAAAAATAAAGTGTAAAAAGATACTACTCATACAAGTTCTTCTCCTACTCTCAGCCTTTCCCAAGACAATTTGCCTATATATTTCCTGGACAAGATCTTATTCAAAATGGCTTACAAAACATGTCTTCCTGCAGTTCAAAAATGTGGCCCACACCTTTGGTGTGAAGAAGCTGATGCGTGATGGGAAGAGCAAACTGAAGTTGCCATGTGTGAATAAAGAATTGCTCAGAGACCAAGAAAGCTTCTTGCCAAAAAAACAAAGCTGATGAACCAGTGTTACTTTAAGGCAGGTGGAATAGTTCATGCTCTCGTTTTTATCGTTAGTGCTAAGAGGGAAAGACAGCTTTGTTTTCACATGGTTATTGATTATTAACTAGCTTTGTGAAAGGTTACCTTTCTGCTAGATACAGCCGGGGGGGGGGTGGGGTGGAGTGGTGTTAAAAATCAATCCCTGAGAAAGCTCTGTTTCTCAGTCAACTTCTCCCACTGCCAGCCCTTGCCATGGATACAGTTTCCCCGTGTTGGTTTCATCATGTCTGGGACTGAAAAAGAGATTATTTTGATTACGTTAAACTCACCTTCAATACTTCTTTTCTGTCTAAATGTAGATTGCAGAAAAGTAGTTGAGCCCTGAGAAGTCGTCAAATATTATGCCGATATAGAAAATCAAGCCAGATTACTATAAGGAAGTGTGACTGAACTATACTCATTATTTTACACTCTAGTTAGATTGTCAGGGAGGTGGGAGGAATGATGAAACAGCCATCAGTCATAACAAGAAATGAAACTAATTTAATAGGGATTCACAAATTATTTGCATCAAAAGGCAAACAAAATAGTCCTGCTACCCTTCCTAGGGAAAAAAAATAGTGCTATGTCCAGGTGGTTTTACATTTCACTGATCTCAGCAGCCTTCAGTGATGTCTGCCAGACACCGCTGGAGACGAAGTGGACAAGACTTTCAAAATACAGTGACTCACATTAAGCTCCTAAATTAATCATTTAAAGGTAACATCATTGAAAAAGCCATTAAATTTCAAGAGGCATGTTGTATATGCTGGTATACATTCAAAACCACGTAGATATGACAATAGGTATGTGGCTTGGTTTTCCAAACGCCTGAGCTCCCAGAGTCATATTGTATTGTAAAGTTTTAGGCATTATATAATACAGAACAAGAATTAACCATGCAGACAACCTCTTCTCTGTCAGGCAAACACCAAGCTACAGGAATATAATCAGTTCTTAACAAGTCCTTGAAACATATTTGAATCTAACACGGTAATTGAAGTATTGCAATGTGGTTATTGTGAGATCTTACTTTAGGACAGCAACAGCTGAGTGTCTGGAACCTTTGTTACTGGTGCTTGAATATCTGAATTCTTGTGCTGATGTTGAGGGTAGTTACAACCAGCCTGTTCTACTTAACATTGTTGCTATCACCATCAACCTTCAATTACTGATACAGAAACATGGATTCGTTTTTGTTTAGTGTCTTGGAATAACAAACTTGCTATAAAGATTTACCTTCTAAGTAGATTTTCGCAGCATCTTTAATTATAGCATTTAGTAGCCCCAAAAAGTCACCTCAAGGAGTAAAGTGCCATTAGAGGAAATCAGACAGCACAGAGCTGGAAGTGTGAGATTTCCAGCTCCATGGATGAAGCTGGGTGATCCAAACATGGTAGCCATAAATATCCCCAGGATCTCTGAGGACTTCTACAGTCCATAAAAACTTCCTACCACACATAAGGCACAGGACCTCCAGCTGAACTGCAACATACGTCCAGCCAGATTTAAGGGTAGGGAGAAACTTCCCAACCCATTGTTAATTTATTCTGGTGTACAACATGTCCTTTGCTCTTCTGGTTTCAATGGTTAAATCTCTGTTGTACATGTATCGGCGTGAAGAAACACATTTAATCAACCGTCTTTTCTTTGCATGGTTACCTATAGACTGAGGATGGTCAAGTTTCTTGTCATTCTGAGGCTGTCAAATCCAGAGACCTGAGGAGTTAGGACCGGGGAATTCCCCAGCTGTGAGATTACAGTATGTGTGCAGCGGTTCCTGGGCACACTATTCAAAGTGTTCAAGTGCTACTGGCCTCACAGTGACCACATATGAGCTAAAGAGGCAAGGCTGCATCTTTTAATTTCTTACATTGTCCCTACCCATTTCAAGGCTCTTCTAGTTGGAGAATCAGGACTGATTAAATGCAGGCAGGTGCAAGGTGAGCAAAAGGCAGCAATGCCTCACACAGCAGCAGAGAATCTGGGGAACCATTTACCAGAAGGTGGTGGGAGGCAAAGATTTGCATAAGGTTCCAGGGGAGACTAAAGGTGTGGAAGAATTAACGGGACTGTAACTTTCTCACGCGTCAGGAAATACCTGGAGTAGAAAATTCTGGAAGTCTGTGAGAAGATCTCGATGAGGCGTCTCATATGCACAGCTGCTGCAGCTGCCAAAGATGATGTGTATGGGCATCATTTAGGGAGAGAGTATGGGGTCACTGGACCTTTGCCTGGAGTCAACATAGCAGTGTCTGTAGAGCCCCATTCTTCCCATCGCTCCCACCTGCCTCTTCCATCGTTCATTTCCCACACCAAGCAGGCACTGGGGTAGGACCCACTCACAGCTCAGAAGCTTCTCCTGGGAAACCCCAGCAGTGGAGGGGCTTTGCAGCCAGACCTCGGTGACCGTATCCCGGGAGGAGACGCAGCCCGTGGCCCCGGCTGCTGGACATTACCACGCTGGGGACTGGCTGGGGTCCCCAGTGCCGGGATACCCCGCGGGGCCCTTTTCCTGCACTGCTGCTCTCCTCTTTGTTGTTAGCACGGTAAAGCGTGCCCTTATCGCGGGCTCACGCAGGCAGAATGAAAGAGAATTAGCTCTAAATCATACGAAATTCATTTGCTTTGGAGAGGCAAGTGTTTGCTCTATTTAGAGACGTTCGTTATAGAGAGAGGACTGCATTAAGACACCGGGTAATGGTCCTCCATGGAGATGAATCAATTTGCTCTGGGTTTTATGGCCTTGCGCTTGTTTGTCCGCGCCGGTTCCCTGTGGAAAAATCGGGGCTGTAAACGCTTCGGGGGGCAGATCTCTGGAGAAAGGGTGCTGAGCTAGGGTCGGTGCCCGAGGAGTCTCCTGATCAAAGGACACCCGTACCAGCCCAGAAACCCCGGGGAGGCATCACAGGCATGCATAGAGGTGCCGAGCGAGGGGAGCACGGATAAAGAAGCTCGCCTGGTTCAGTGCACCCGCCCCGGGCACACACAGGCTGCGAGCCCCTGGCAGGCCGTGTACCCGCCCGGCTTGCCAGGGGACGGAGACGGAGGGCGCCGGGCCGGGGAGAGCCCCGGCAGCAGCGATGTCTATCGGTAATTCCCGCTAATAAAATACTTTTTCACTATCCGCACTATAATTGGTTTACAGCCTTTTTTGTTTATTTATCCATAAGAGCTGCTGTTAAATGGCTTGAGAAAGCAATCGCTTAATGGCTCAATATTGAATCAAAGGATCAGTGTGCTTTCTAAGAGATGGGGGACCTGCGTGGGTCCGCAGCGGAAACTCATTTTAAATGTAATGGACTGGGCGGGTTTATGATCCCACGGAACTTGACGCAAAAGCGAGCTACCGGGAGTCTCCGGCCCTGCCCAATCAGAGGATGCATCGCCTCTGGCCAAGTCGCGCAGAGCCCGGTCGAGTTTAAGCTGGCCAAGCCGAACTGAACCGAACCGAGCCGAGCCGCGGGCATACGGGCCCGCCCCGCTGCTCCCTGCACCCGCCATAGACTTAGCAGCGGGTGTGCCCCACGACGGCGGCGGCCGGAGCCCCGATGCCGGGGAAGGAGCCGGGAGAAGAGGCAGTGAAAGGAGAAGCGTATAGGAAGCGTGCATGTCCCCAAACCAGCGAGAGCGGCGGCAGCGCAGAGAGCAGGGAGGCAGGGAAATGATCTTTGTCCCTTTCGGTAGTTCTCCGCCTCCTCATAGCCTCGTCACCAAGTCAACCGGCACCAGCTCGGAGCAGATTACCTCCGAGGGTCAACACATTGCAGCCCAAACCGCGGGGAAGGCTCCCAAATTTACCCCTTGGACAAACAATCCGCTGCCTATCGCTCGCCCTGGTGATAGCATTGTGGTCCCCACCAGCCGCATCCCCCAGGCCAGGGCGGGAGCGGGCTGAAAGCCGATCGTTACCCGCACATGGGCCTCCGGCATACAGGTCCCCCCGAGGGAGGGGGCGCACCCTGCCAGCACCCTGGCTGGCACCTGTCGCACCCTGCCCGTCCCCGGACATCTCAATCCCTGCACGGGATGCTCCCGGAACCAAAAGTGCCCTGACGCCAAACCCCTTCAGGAGTCTTTTCTTCCCGAGGTTTTCCCTCCCCAAGAGGTGACCGGATGAGGGAAGGGTGGCTGGGAGAAGAGCAGCCCCTGGCCAAGCGGACCGTGGAGGCAAAAGGGGTTTCGGGGCTGCCTCTCCCGGCGAGCCCTGCACGTCGGGGCAACCGTCTCAAGACCCTAGCGGCTGGGCTTCTCACCCCAAAGGAGGGAGCGGCACCCCTTGGCGGGGTCAGGGGGTCCTGGGGCCTGCCTGGCCACTGGGAAGGGGCTTGCTGGGCCAGGGCCACCCCGGGGGCCTCTTATGGGTCGCGCCCCGCCCCGGAGGGCCGCGGGAGGGCTCACGTGGGGAGCGGCACCTATGGGGAGGCGGCGGGAGCCGGGCGGGCGGCGGGGCCCATCGGGGCGGCGAGCTGTCAAAGAGGCATCCCGGGAGCTGGGAGCGGGAGCAACCCTATGTGTCTCTAAGCTGCGAGACCCCCCGCCCCGGTCCCGCTCGCCATGAACACCGAGGAGCAGTATTACGCCTCGGCACAGCTCTATAAGGAGTCGTGCGCATTTCAGAGAGCCCCGGCACAGGATTACAGCCCCGGCCCCCCCGCTTGCCTGTACATGGGCAGGCAGCAGCAGACTCCTTACCCCAGCGCCTTAGGGGCTCTCGAGCAAGGCAGCCCGCCAGACATCTCACCTTATGAGGTGCCCCCCATCACAGAAGATGCCGGGGTCTCCCACCTTCACCACCACCACCATCATCTGCCTCCTCTCCACCAGGACGCGCTGCCTTTCGCAGACGGCGCGGACACGGGGGCGACAGAGGAGACCCGAGTACAGGTGCCTTTCGCCTGGATGAAGTCCACCAAATCTCACGCCTGGAAGGGACAGTGGACCGGTAAGTCCCGCCGAATCCCTCTGCCCCTATCCCGCCGCTCCTCTCTATCTCCTCGCCCTCCCCTGCACCGGTCCTGATCCCGCTGCTCGGGTTTAGCGTGAAGAGGTACTGGAGGGTAACTTCCTTGGGATGCTACTGCCCCCCTGTCAGCCCTTCAAGACCCACTGCTGCCGCCGTCGGGTTGAACCCCGGGGTTGGAGCCGTCCCCCGGGCCGCTCCCTGAGCTGCCCAAGCCGTCAGCAATTATTAACAGCTTATTTTTCACTAATTAACTAATTGTCCCCAAGTCGGGGCGACGTGCAAACGCTTCCCAGGCGCTGCTGCCTCTCCGAGCAGGGTGGGTCCGCGGATCAGCCTCTCCGCGGGAGCGGTGGGCTCCTCGCTGGGGCCGAGGATGGGGAGCGGGAGACACCGGCGAGATGGAGTCGACGGGAAGCGGCGGGCAGGACGGCAAAGGACACGGAGCAGCCCTGAAACTGCGGGGCAGCCACCTTGCCCCTCACCGCTGCCTCTCTGCTCTCCCCTGCGGCAGAGCCCATTTTCCTCCCAGACTCCTTGTCCCACCTTCTCTCGCTTCCCGGTGGGTTTTAGTCGTAATTGCACCTTTCCAAGTGAAAACAGAGGGCAGGGGAAACAATGCACAAACGAAACAGAGCTGCCAGCGAGGGGAAGAAACTCTATCTAGACAGAAAGTTCCGCTGCCCAACAATATTCTTGTCTCTGCCTGCACAATGTTATCGTGTCCTGCGCCTTTGTCACGCCTATACGGCAAATATTATATCAATGGCTTTGTTCAAATAGACAGTTGAAAAAAGGACCTGAGTATTAAAATCACCATGAAATAGTTTGGGAATTACATGGTTTGGATCGAGGGTACAGGGAGGGGGACAGGCGGCGGTCTCCTACCCCGACGGAGGCTCAACAGCCGGGAAGGGGAGAGGAATGCTGCTCCACGCTCGACTCGGCAGCAGGGACTGTGCCTGTGGAGAGAAAAATCAGATTGTTTTCCTTGGATTGAATGAATTTCTGGAATAATATATATATATATATATTAAAAAAGGTCGAATGGGAGAAAGCGCCAGACACCCGACACTTTTTTCTTTGTGTCCTTACCAGATGACCAAACAATCAGCAAACCGAAACTTTTCCCCCAACACCCGAAAACTCTGCCCTGTTCTTTCCAGCTCTGCCGGGAGGTCCAGGCAAAGGCAGTCCCACAGCTCTGCGTGGTGCACGCCGGGGGTGTGCGGGCACCCGGGGCAGCTACCACCGCGGTGCGCGGGGCCCAGCACTGTGCCGTGGCCGGTCCCGGGAGGTTCTGCAACGTAGAAATCACAGATTCTATATACTGTAAGTTCTATAGCCCAAGGATTTCAGCTTTTATGGACACCCTTGGGATGTAGGCGCTCGTGGATTCCGCTGGGCTTTGTGTTGCTATTGCCGATGAAAGGCGCCCAGAGAGGCCGTGGCAAACCCGGCCCGGTGCCACCCGCAGTGCCCGGCCCCTGGCTCCGCTGGACCGAGAGCTGCCGGCCGCTCCCCTAAGGCTCACCCGGTCCCACAGGCAGGACACGGCGGGAGCACGGCCCAGTGAGCTGCGGGAGCAGGTCTGCAACGGCCTTCCGATGGGCAGATCCTGGCGTTCCACCTTCCTGGTAGCACTGATTCACCTTGCCATAACAGAGCTATTTTTTTCAGATCCATGCACGTGCACAGTGTTATATTTAGAAACATTTAATGCATATATATTTATTTTAACATCGATTTAATATATATTTTAATATATTTACAGAAAAAAATTATATACAGAGGCTTATATTTATAAACAATTTTATGTATATAAACATTTCTATGCCTAATTTAGATTAAACATTAGGAAGAAATTCTTCACTATGAGAGTACTGAACCACTGGCACAGGTTGACCAGAGAAGCTGTGGCTGCCCCATCCCTGGAAGTGTTCAAGGCCAGGCTGGATGGGTCTTTGAGAAACCTGATTTAGCGGAATGTTCGTGCCCGTGGCAGGGGGTTAGACTAGTTCTTTAAAGTCCCTTCAAGCCCAAACGAGTCTATGATTCTATATACATGCATTTAAATATATATAATATATATATACACATAAGCTTATATACAGAGGTTTATATTTCTGTTTATAAACATTATGTACATATAAACCCGTGGGAATAGAAAGACGGGAGGCGAAGAGCCGTGTAGCTGTCTTGAAATGGCTGTTTCGATCTGGCTCTTTCAACGACTGTTTCCTGCAGACGTTGTCGCCACCGAATGTCTTCCCAGGTGGGCTCCAGGCCCTGGCCATAGTGGTCGGGAATTTCAGCGCCCTCCCGGCTCCACACGTGCCCACACTTGCCGTGCCAACGGCCATTCCGCTGCTGCCGCTGTTTACAGGAAGGGAAGATCCAAGGTTTAACCAACCTGACAAAACGGAAGGGCTGCGGTCTTGCTGTCGGTCCCGATCTCGTCCCTGCAGCCATGCCGGGGCCCTCCCCGTTGCTTCTCACGGGGGTCTCCGCAGCCGGGAGAAGGCCCAAGTTTCCGCGGGCTCAGGGCTCTTCGATGGCGATATCCTGTAAGAAACCCCCAGACTCTTGTTCCGTGAGATTCCCACCACCTTTTTGAGACTTGTGCCTACGGGTGCCCGCGGCGAGGCCCACCGGGGAGAAGCTGCCCGCTCGCCCTGCCCGGCTGCGGCACTGCCACCGGACCGCCGCTGGCCGGCTGGCTTCTCTTCCGGGTCCCGTACTGCAGGGATGAGATTTGGCTGTATTTTCTATTATTATTATTAATGTTACTATTGTTACTATTACTATTATTACTACTGTAACTATTATTATTACTATTATTAATTTGGTTGCTTGTGTGTGTGTACAAAAGAAAGTATTTTTCTGTATTATTGTAGCTTTGGTTTTGTGGCTGGTTTTGTTCTGTGGCCGAAGTTTTTTGGGGGGAGCGGATCCGTTTTGATGTTGGGGAATGTGTTTATTTTAATTTTCATTTAATTTTATTTTTCCCCCTTTCTTTTCACCTTTTTCTTTTTTCAGTTTTTTTTTTTTTTTTTTTTTTTGGCAGTTGCCAGGCCCTGGAGCTCTTCAGAGCTTTCAGCGACATGCGACTCGCGGCGCTTGAGCGTCAATCCCAGTTTGAGCGACTGCTCTTCCCTGAAAACTTCCACCAAATTACTACTAACCTCCCCCTAAATTATTATAAAAGACAATAGCAGCAGTCGCAACTGCTTCCCCCAGCACCCCCTTACTGTGCCCGGCCGGGGGCCTCCCCGAGGACACCTCTCACCCCACGCGCTTTCCCCAGCTTGTTCTTCGCGCCGCACGGGGATGCAGGGTCGCGGCCCCGCAGACCGATGGGAGACCGGGCTGGCCGGGATTGACTGTCCCTTCTTTCTCTACAGGGGGGTCCTACGTGGTGGAGCCGGAGGAGAGCAAGCGGACGAGGACGGCGTACACCCGGGCTCAGCTTCTGGAGCTGGAGAAGGAGTTTCTCTTCAACAAGTACATCTCCAGGCCGCGGCGGGTGGAACTAGCTGTCATGTTGAACTTGACCGAGAGGCACATCAAGATCTGGTTCCAGAACCGGCGGATGAAGTGGAAGAAGGAAGAGGACAAAAAGCGAGGGGCGGGCAACAGCAATGACCCGGAGCAAGACTGCGTGGTGTCCCCCGGGGAGCTCCAGGGCAAGGAAGATCTCCAGCCGTGCCCCGCCGGGAACCTGCCCTCGGGGGGCTCCAGGGACCCGCTCGCCCCCAGCCTCGCCCCCAGAAGGCAGACGGATTCCCGGTGAGCCACGGGGAGTCCCACGCCCCTGGCTGAGGAAGAGGAGACAGGGGAGAGAGCCGGGAAGCTGGCGCCGGCTTCCCGCCGCCGTGCCGTGACCGACCCTCGCCCGCCTTCCCTGGGGAAACTCGATGACCCCACTCCGAAACTCCCGTCCTGAGAAAGTTAAACGAAAGTGCTCGGCTGTAGCGAGGAGAGGCTCGCTGCGGGCCGTGGGGCCGGAGGAGGCCGCAGTCAGCCTCTGGGATGGCGGCGAGCTGGGCCCCACTTTCCCGGGGCACCCCGCGTCTCAGCGGGCCCGACGGGGCAGCTTTCCCCGGGGAAGGCGGGTCTCGGGTGGGCACCGACGGTGTGCGCAACTCTGGGTACACGGAGCTGTCTGGAAACTGGAGGAGAAGCGAGCTAACGCCGCCTTACCGCTGGCGGCTGCTCCGCCAGGGCGCGGGACCCGCCGTGCCCGGAGCTGCACAAGAGCGGCCGCAGAGCCAGGCATCCTGGGCCTCAGAGGCACCGGTTCCACCGAGGACCCTGCCAGGACTGTTACTTCCAGTTAGGAACTGAAACCTGGTTTGTTTCTTGTTCTTTTGCATTTGGGAAAAAAATAGAAAGGAAAAATTAAAAAAAAACAAGAGCCCAGGTGTCCTGCGGGCAGTACTTGTCTCCCCCCATGACCAGCTCCTCATGACCGGCACAAGTAGCCAGAACCCCCTCAAGGCTCCGCCACAGCCTGACACTGCGTCACGGCCCGCGTGTCTCCCGAGGGATGGGTGTCAGCCCGGAGATGCGGCAGAAAACCCGCGGGTGCTCTCCGGGCAGCAAATAGGCTCAGATCGGGCTGCACGCCGAGAGCGGGATGTGTCAAGGGGGTTAGGACCGGTCCTAGGAACATTTTCCTTCCTCTCTTCCACCTCTGCCGCAAGTTCGGACTCTTCTTCGGAGAGAAGAAACCTTCCTGCAGCACAGGCTCCCGGCCCTGTGTGGCTCTCTGCATGGTTTTTCTCTTCAGTCCTGGCTTTACATCCACGCGGAGGCTGTGGCCAGGGCCCTCCAGGGCTGTGGTGCCATTTTCCTGGTGTTCTTTTCCGGCCCTGCTCGGCGTGCGGGAGAGCGTCTGCTACGGGCTGGAGGGTGATTCCCTGCGGAGAGCCGGCACTGGCGGCTCAGCCGCCGGCCCTCCGGCCCTAGCCAGCCTTCCCTTCAGCCGCTGCTCGTCTGTCGCTAGAAGATCTTCCCTGTCTCGACAAGGGCAGCAACAGGCATTTTGCACAAGGGAAATGAACTGCTCCGGTGAGCGCCTCTAAGAGCGACGGTAATTCAGCCAGATGCGGAAAACGATCACATCCAAACTAGAAGCAGAAAACAGAGGCTGAAAGGAAGCAGGAGCTGTCCGGGTTTGCTGTGGGTCAGGAGGATCTGTTTCCTCTCCTCGACGGGTAGGCTCCAGACCTGCTCCCGCATCATCCAGCAGCAAGCCTCCAGCATCCTTCAGGGACCTAGAGCATCCCTCCTGTCCGCGCTGCGGACCCGCGACTACTATGGAAGGTAGAAGAGGTCCTATTCCACCATGGCCAGAGGATGTTTCCAGTCCCCCAGCTGAAAGCGAGGGGGAGAGGAAGTAGCTTGCCCCTGCTCTTTGAGTTTTTTTCCATCTTACGTGAGACTTTTAACAATAAGGTGGAGACTTGAGCTGAAAGTGTAATTCATCTATTGATTTTCTTTCCTTTGGGGGCATTAAGATGTGTGTGCAAATGGAGGCGTTTCTGGTCATTTTTACTGCAAGTTGCCTGAGAAATTTATCTTTCGAGCCGGTATATCCTTATTCATCAAAACACAGTCAATGAGGGAGAGTTTCACTAATGATTATATGAGCAAAATTCAAATAAAGCTGTTCTGCTTAAGAAGCAAAGCACCGCATTAATTAAAATAACTTTTCTCAAACTTCTCGGAATTATAAAGTTCTTTTAAAACCTCAGAATTTCTCATCACTGTTTATTAGCATCAACTTGTCACTGGTAACGCACAGTGGAACAATTTCCATATACTTTTTACAATGTCTGGCAGTGAAATCGCTATTTGGGAGTCACTATAAAACTAGATATGCCTAGATTCGCACAGCTTATTGGCCTGTGTAAGCAGCACGCTCTGTGCCTGTAATTTTACTTGTAATTTCTCTAGTATAACACATTCCATTTCCATTTTCTCCATGCACTGCTGTAAAAATGGAGAAGTTGCAGAGTTTGGAGGAATTGTTTGACCATGGTGCCGAAATGTTTTTATGAGTGGAAGCAGAATCAGACCTGCGTTGTTTAGTTTTAACGAATAAAGTATTTTTCTTCAAATAACTGATATAATTTACAGGTTTAGCACTTTATATATCTAAATATAATACTAATTCTTTTTCCAACTGCATCAATAGAAACAGTAGCATTAACTGAATCAAGACAGCTCTGGGACCTTGTAGAGACAAAGGTTCAGGGTAACCTTCACCTGACAGAGCCATTAGCCCTGCACCATGCTGGGAAAAGGCAAGGCTGATATGGAAAGTAATAAGGCTGCTAGAATTCTTGTGCCATGTCATCTCACCAAAGCCAGTTGTGCAGACATATCCATTTTTCCTAGGAGTCACCACTCCTCATGACATAGTTCATAATTAGTATTATTAAATAGTTTTTCACTTATATTTAATCACCTTTAACCCTAAGACAGCGTTTCCACAAGACATTCTAAAAATTCTGACTTTAAAAATTAAGAATGAGATGAACAGGGTGAGATGTCTTTTTATTTCCTTCTTGGGCAATACTCAAGTGCTTTAGGCATTTGTGGGAAAGGTATGTATCCAAAAATCACATGTATTCGGTGTTGGTTATATTAAAGAAAAACTGAGCAAGATGCAGGGCTATTTTTCCCTCCCCAGGTGCACCTGGTATTGGCATCTGCAACACCAAGAACTATGGAGACATCAGTTCTACCTATGGCTCCTGGTTAAGACAATGAGGCTGCAGGTCTTGATGCAGGTTTTCACAGGCAGCACCTTTACTTCTGCTTTGCTCAGATACACCCCCCAGTACCGAAGTGAAAGTTTTCCATCTCTGCTTCTGAGCTACCAGGATATTGTCTATTATGACACGAAGGACCACAAGGCAGGGAGTATTTAATGCCCTCTTCTTTCTCCAAGCAGGGCTGAGCATCTAATGCAAACAACACAGAGTTAGGCAAACTCTGGCCAGGAGCTGGGGGCTGCTGTCACACAAAGGCCAGATCCTGCCACAAAATGGTTGTCGGTTTGCTGCTGACTGAGAAGTTGCGTCCAGCAGCCTCTTTTGGTGTCATGCTACCACCGTGCTTGGGCTGAGGTTGGGAAAGGGAAACAGGAGCTCATGCACGCCCTGTGCTAACCCCTGCTTTACCTCCCACATACAGGACCATGTCCCAGAACCCTGCAGTGATGGCCATGCGAAAGGTCCTCCATTACAAACCCATATGTTTGCCTGAAAATCCCTCCGTGTATGAATAATTATGTCCATAATTCAATTTTGAAAGCCTGTTACCTCCCACACTGCGGTTGCTGCTGCTGCCATGACCACAGCTGAGGGGAGATGTTGCAGGCTGAGAAGAAACATTGCTCAGGAAGGCTTCAGTGCTTTGAAGTGCAACAACGGTTGGGATGCCAGCCCTGCGACGACCACCAAAGCAGGGTCTGTCAGGCGGGGCAATGCACCTCACAATCTGGGTTCCACACCAGGCAGAGCTGTCAGGGAGTTAAGTGTTGTATTTCAAGGCTTACTTTGGAAGTAGAAAGAAATGTCTTTGGGCTCCCTTCATTCCTGATGGCTTATAGGGTTATTCTTCACATAAATGTACGCAACCCATACACACACACATGCACACATGGCTTCCAATAAACTGTGACTCAGAAAGGCAGCTCCTCCATGTTCCTTCCACCCCAGATGGGGATAAGAATGTCCAGATCTTCAAGGATATTTTTATAGCAATCAGGAACGTGTCTGGTTTATCATCTAGAGAAGACAGTGAAATGCGGAAACACTGCAGTGCCCATGTTGGTAGTGAATATTATCTGCTTTTACTCATTCACTAGTTACTTTCATTTATCATTTATCCTCCTTGCTGGTGTCCCACTGGATTCCACCACCCTTCACAATATCTTTCTGTGCACACTGCCAGCACTTGTGCACTTCTACAGCACTTTTTAGCTGCGATCACAAGGAATGGTGAAGCAAAAGAGGACGTGCATGGATGCATGGCTTCTCCTAGTCTCTGCCTTTCTTCATCTCTTCTCCTTCCATCATTTGCTGTCATCTTATGCTGCACCTCTGTTCCCCACATCTTCTGGGATTGCAACATATGCAGGGATAAATAAAATCATAGACACATAAAATAGGATTGGAAAGGACCTTAAAGTCATCAAGTTCCAACTCCCCTGCCATGGGCAGACACACCTCACACTAGACCCCATCACCCAAGACTCCATCCATCCTGGCCTTGAACACTGCCAGGGATTGAGCATTCACAGCTTCCTTGAGCAACCCATTTCAGTGCCTCACCATCCTCACAGTAAAGAATTTCTTCCTAATGTCTAATCTAAATCTCCCCTCTTTCAGTTTAAAGCCATTCCCCCTTGTCCCATCACTACATGCCCTTGTAAAAATTCTGTCTCCGGATTTATTGTGGGTCCCCTGTAGGAGTCAGTCCTGGCCAGCTTTGTTCATGGAGTAGGAAATTCAGACATGTGGCTCCTCTGCTAGTAGGCCTCAAGCACTTGCTGCCTCTTATCAGGGTTTCTTCCAGGAACCATTTGCTTCCAGCTGCAGTGCCACTGAAATGAGGAAATGTCACAGCTGGGCTGCCTCGGACTGATGTGCCTTTAAGAGGGACCCCATGTTCTTAGGAGCACTGATCCTCCATCCACCAGGATCCACTGGGCACAAGAGGGAGATGACTTGGCAAACAGTCCTCAGGACTATTCTTCATCAACAACCCAAAAATACATTGGGCGGGAAGAAACCTGAGAGATGAGGGTGAGGGCATGAACAGAAGCATCTCAAGCAGGTGTGGAGCATCCCACTTTGAAAGCATTGGCAGAGGGAGGGTTACTGGGCTTTGTTTCATGACAGAGCTTGTCTGGGTACAATGAGTTGGTGCCAGTGGCAGCTTTGTGTCCTCCATGAGGACATGCCATCCAGAGGGACCTGAACACGCTTGTGAGGTGGGCTGATGCCAACCTTATGAAGTTTAACCGTGCCAAGTGCAAGGTCCTACACCTGGGTCGGAGCAATCCCAGGCACAGCTACAGGTTGGGCAGAGAAGAGATTCAGAGCAGCCCTGTGGAGAAGGACTTGGGGGTGTTGGTTGATGAGAAAATGAACATGAGCCGGCTGCAGTGTGCGCTCACAGCCCAGAAAGCCAACCGTATCCTGGGCTGCATCAAAAGGAGCATGACCAGCAGGTAGAAGGAGGTGATCCTGCCCCTCTACTCTGCTCTCG